TGTAGCAAAGCGTGAGCTGAATGTGTTAATATAGAAAACAGGAAAACAGTATTGTAAATGGACAATAAATTGTTCTGCAGCACCTAATTGATGTTGTCACAGTAGTGAAGAGCAGCTGAATACTGATTCAGTTGTAATCTATTACATCATATTCTGTAGTAATCAAGTACTTCAGCTAGATGGGGTCTTTTTATGCTTTATCTCCTGCTGTCTGTTTCAGAGTAACGTTAAATAAATGTGCTATATGTGCTGTTGCAGAAATGGCTTCTGTTTGTGTGCAACACTAAACCAAACTTAAACATCAGCTTGTTTATTTGTTTTTGTGTATCCTCAGGTAGTTTACAGAGGAACTCCAACAAAGCTGGTTCGTATCAGGAACCCGTGGGGGGAGGTGGAATGGACTGGACCCTGGAGTGATGAGTAAGATTCTCTCCTATTGGTATTTTTGGAGCCTACAACCAAAAATGAGAGTTAATATAGTTTTTCTGTTGTGAATGACTGATTTTAAAAGGAATATTTCATACTTTTTTTTTTTTTTGAGTGGAGTTTGTTCTCATTAATATTTAAAGACATCAGATATTTGGTGCATTTGGAAAAAGAGGGCATCTCACTTTTTGGTGTTTATTTCTCCATTCCCAAAAAAAATCCATATTTATTTTTCCTTGTGCAGCTCCAGAGAGTGGGGCAGCGTGGACAGTTCTGCCAGAAGTCGGCTACAGAACCGCAGTGAAGACGGAGAATTCTGGTGAGTCACTTCAAAGAATATAATCAAACTAATACTTTAACGTTAGTGCTCCATTTTCTTCCATGCTGGTGAAATGTTTTGTTTGTCATCAATTTATCTGGAGTGTCAGCATCAGTTTTAATTAAAATAAAGATCCTCTTTCAGGCTTTATTAGAATAAAAATAATCTACTTGTGTCCGTCTATCAGGATGTCTTTCAGTGACTTCTTGCGGGAGTTCACCCGTCTGGAGATCTGCAACCTGACGGCAGACGCCCTGCAGAACAGCCAGATGAAGAAGTGGAGCTCGTCGCTCTTCCAGGGGGAGTGGCGACGAGGCAGCACTGCTGGAGGCTGCCGCAACTACCCAGGTACTGTAGAAAACCAGGACTGACCCAGAGGAGGTGGAGCGAGCTGACCTTTCCCCCCACCCCCCTCTCCTCTGCAGCAACGTTTTGGCTGAATCCTCAGTTTAAGATCAACCTGCAGAACCCGGACACCCCCGGAAAACGAGACTGTAGCTTCCTGATCGGCCTCATGCAGAAGGACCGCAGGAAGAAACGACGAGAGGGCGAAGACATGGAGACCATTGGGTTTGCTTTGTACGGGGTCAGCAGCAACTCCCTCACAAAGTTGAACATGTTTTTTTATATATTGTGAGGAAAAAAAGTTTGTTTTATTTCTAACCATTCATCTCCTGTTTTATTTGCAGGTTCCAAACGAGGTAGGAGTTCTGCAGATTTACTTTCAAACATATTTCTGGTGATTCATACGTTTGTCAAGTGCTACATGTTCTCCCTGAAATTCAGATATTCTTTCACCATAATAGTACTCCTGTCTTTTCATGTGTTAACCAAATGTTTATTAGAAACCGTCTTGAGGAAATGTTTTGTAGGGTTTCCTGAATATGTGCCAACTCTCAACTCTCCTCTCAGTTTGTGGGGAAGTCAGGCGTCCACCTGAAGCAGGACTTCTTCCTGACTCATGCCTCCAGCGCTCGCTCAGAGCAGTTCATCAACCTGAGGGAGGTCAGCTCGCGGCTGCAGCTGCCGGTTGGAGAGTACATCGTTGTCCCCTCCACCTTTGAGCCACACAAAGAGGGCGACTTTGTCCTCAGAGTTTTCTCAGAGAAGCCTGCGAACTCCGAGTGAGTGCTGTAAAAACATGTGTGAGAAACCAGTCATAACTAATGATTTAATGAGTCTACTTATTATTTAAATAAGGCTGATTGTTATTCAGATTTAGACCCTGTCTATACTATTCAGAATGTTTTTCAAGTGGATGTTTTTTTCCATTTATATAAAAAAAACCATGTTTTTCTGCTAAAGTCTACATGATTCTAGCAAAATGGAGAAATACCCATGATGCACCACTAGGTGGCGTGAACATACAAATTGACAACATATCACGACACAGAGAAAGAACGCACGAAACATTCTACTGAAACAACTGTAGCTTTTTTCTTTTGCTATGATGACATTTCACCGTTAACACGTTCAGCAAACGATCAAAGTTCAAAGGCGACTGGATCAGAATAATGTGAGACAGCCGCAGGAAAAAATTGAAATTAAATGGCTCCATTATTGTTTTTGGCATCTGGTGCGAAAAGTGATAGTCACACATGTGTGATAATGTGTTTTACATATCCAAGAAGTTCCGAATCACAAAACTAGGATGGATTCTTATAAATATAGTATAGTTTACTATAAGGTGCACTTAAAATCCTTTAATTTTCTCAAAAATTGACATTGAGCCTTATAATCAGGTGCACTTTATGTATTAATTCTGGTTGTGCTTACTGACCTTAAACCAATTTTATGTGCTCAAAAATCTGTCAAACTGAACGTGTTTCACTTAATGCGCCTTATAATCCGATATGCCTTATGTAAAAAAAAAAAAAACCAGACCCATTCATTGATATTGGGCCTTATAGTCCAAAAAAAAACGGTAAATAAAAAACATGTATAAATTTGTATGCATATATATATATGTATATATAATTCATTCAACTCTATGAACCGATCTAAAACATTCACAAAAGTGCAACACGGTTAGGAACTCGACAAAACAGAGAATGGCAACAAATCAGATCAACTCAGAACTCAGTCAAAAACCCAACACATGAGTAGCCTTTAAAAAAATAATGGTTTTCAGTTTGTGTTTTGCAACGCTTTGCTTTTATAAAATCAGGTCTAATACCAGTTAGTATAAAACTAATACATTTTTATTTTTTCTGGTTTCTCCTCTTCCAATCAGGGAGCTGGATGATAAAGTTGTAGCAGAACTTCCAGCTGAGGTGAGGAGAAAAAACCCCAACTCCTGATGGGTTTTAACACTGAGTCACATGAACTAATAGAAAAGAGTGAGACGAACATATTTGTGTTTCAGACCAAACTGGATGAGAGCCAGATTGATGCAGCCTTCAAGAATCTCTTCAGACAGCTGGCCGGAGCTGTAAGCACACTGAGAAGATCACAGAGGGTTTACTCAGAGGAGAGGTTCCTAGTGTTTAAAACCCTAAACCCCATAACCTCCGTTAACTCCACTTGTTCCAACAGGACATGGAGATCAGCGTCACGGAGCTGCAAACCATCCTGAACAGGATCATAGCCAAACGTCAGTCACTAGTAGTTTCTAAAACGCCTCTATTTCTCCAAGACTGTATATTTACTAATTCACGTTATTCGTTTGCTTTTCTTGTGAACAGATAAGGACCTGAAGACGGACGGCTTTGGTAAAGAAGCTTGTCGCAGCATGATAAACCTCATGGATGTATCCTTGGACCATGTTTTTTTTTAACTAGATTAATTAGTTCATCAGCCATGGAGACTTTGTTTTATTCAAAAACTGTGGAAAAGTGAATTTTCCAAAGGTTCCTGAGCTCCTTCTCGCAGACGGACGGCAGTGGGAAGTTGGGCCTCACGGAGTTCCATGTTCTCTGGGAGAAAATCAAACGATACCTGGTGAGACTCGGAGCCGCTGGACACGCTAAAGAACTTTGCTTCGAAATATTACAAGCTCTTTCTTTTCAATGGACACTGCGTTTTTCTGCTGTGTGAAATGTGCACAGAAGTCCTCAATTGGGATGATGTGTGAAATTACTATGATCAATAACGGCTACAGCCAAAATGTGATGATTATGCTGAAAAGCTCCAAATGTTTGTATTTGAAAATGGCACTCTATGCCTAGGTTGGAAACTCCTAAAACTTATTATGTACATGTAATTTTTGTTTTATTGTTTGGCATCGAACTGTTGATTTATTCTTTATTTTCTGTTCTCTTTCTCCTCCATCTCCACTGGATACCAGACTATATTCAGGCAGTTTGACTTGGACAAATCCGGCACCATGAGCTCCTATGAGATGAGGATGGCTCTTGAATCTGCAGGTAGTGATCTTTATCTTTTTGTGTATTTGTCAGGGACTAGTAATAATTAAGATGCTCTGTACCAGATTATAATTTTCAGCTCATTTCCATCTGCAGTCCCTGTGGCAGGCAAGCAAAGACACTAAATATATCTAAGTGAAAAACAGTCAAAACAAGGACATAGAAACATTATATCTTGCACAAAATATGAATTCATACAATGAGAATACCTATCAAAAGGTACATGGACCCTGATCAGAGTATTATTTTTATTTGAAAAATGTGAAGTCAGTGCTGACAAGTTGGAGTTCTTAAAATCCTTTTATTTATTTTTTATTTCTATTTTTGTTTCTCTGGGGAAGGTTTTGTGGTTTTTGCTGGTCTTCAGGTCTGTGTGAAGCTTGTTCCAATCCGTTGTGGCTTTGAATAAAAATGCTGATTGTCCCAGTGTACCATAATTTCTGTACTATTGAGTGCACTGCAATATAAGCCACACCCACTAAATAAAATAAAAAAAATCAATTTTGTACACTTTATAAGCTGCTAGTGTCCACGTTATAACATGAGATACTTGCATAGAAAGATTAAAATTTTTTTTAAATTAAATGTGTATCAATAACATACACAAATATGTACATTAAGTGTTTGTTTATGAACAGTGCCGGTAACATGTCTGGTTAAAAAAAAAAAAAGAATACAGTAGGAAAAGTAATTAATTGCCATCTCCAATGTCTCACCATAGATTCATTGATGCCAAGCTTACATGCAGCAGCTCCATTTCCTCCTGCGACAGCCAGATCTATCGCCTTTAACTTAAAAGCTGCATCATCCGCATTTCTTCGTGTTTTCCATGATGAGGGTGTGTGCATGAAGTGCAAAATGACCGATCGGAAGAATTTAGTGCGAGTTTGTTTGATTTACGGTCATTCAAAAATTTCTTTGGTCCACTGTGACCTGTTTGGTAATTTCATTGGGTTGATTTTTATTTATTTATAATCTTTTATTTATACAATTCATTTCAGTTCAGTTTATTTATACAATTCATTTCAATTCAGTTTATTTATATAGCGCCAAATCACAACAGAAGTCATCTCAGGGTACTGAACAGAAACATTCATATACCGTATATAAAAAGAAAGTTATTTGAGGAGCAGACTGTTTTGAATTTAACTCCATCACAGAACTCTCATCTTGAACAAGCATGAAGACAACAGTGGAAAGGAAAAACTCCCTCATGAGGAAGAAACCTTTAGCAGAACCAGGCTAAGGACAAGAGGCCATCTGCTTTGACCGGATGGATTTGAGGAGAACAGGAAGGAGGAACAGATACACAATGGCAGGGCAAGAATTGCATTTTAAGATAAAAATAATATCAAATGAAAACTATTCAATTTTAACAATTCATTAAGGAAATGAGGTCAATTTGTCCTCTAGTAGTCTAATCCTATAGCAGCATAAAAAGCCAACCCTAACTACAGGATTTATCAAAAAGGAAAGTCTTAAGTCCAGTCTTAAAACTGAACAATGTGTCAGCCTCACAGACAGAAACTGGAAGTTGGTTCCACAAGAGAGGAGCCTGAGAACTGAAAGATCTTCCTCCCATTCTGCTTTTGGAAACTCTAGGAACTGAAAGTAAGCCTGCAGTCTGAGAGTGACGTGCTCCTTTAGGAAAATATGGAACGATAAGATCTGGAATATAACATGGAGCTAGGTGATTGAGCTTTGTAGGTACAGGTAGTCTCATTGAGTTACGAGGATCCACCTCCAAGTGTATTGGGCAGCCATGTGAGCGTTCAGATGTGATGAGACTAGTTGTTTTGGCAGCTTGAAGCTCATTAGCCCGTCAAAAAAAAAAAAAAAATCCTTTAGCTAGCCACAGCATTGTAAAAGCCGCAGGGTTCAAAGCTTGTGAAAAAAGTAGTGGCTTATAGTCCGGAAATTACGGTAGTTTTTTGTTTAAGAACTCTGCGCACCCATCTAAAGGTGGTCCTTGTTTCTTTTTTTCATATACTCAGAGATCCAATGAACAAAATATTTTAGAGGCAGTAGCATGTATAATTTTAAATACCAATTGTACACTTGCAGATTTTATGTTTTAAAAACTCAACAACCAATGTTTAAAAAGTATATTGGAGGTGATGTTGTTTCCTGTTCAAGATTTTAAGAGTTCTGATGAGGACAATCGTGTTCCTTCTGCCCTACACGTTTAATAAATGATTCTACTTGATGAGTCTGTTTTCTCTTTCCTTGTTTAGGTTTCAAGCTCACCAACCACCTGTTCCAGCTGATCATCCTGAGATACACTGAGGACGACATGGCTGTTGACTTTGACAACTTTGTCAACTGTCTGGTCCGACTGGAGACCATGTTCAGTAAGTCACGATGCTGCTCGGTGTTTGTAACCTGCTGAGACGTCGTGTCCCCGTGTGGGGATATTTAATTTGTCAAGTTTTTATTATGAAATATTTAAAAAATATGTTTAAATTTTCTATTTCGTTTGAACAACTAATTGTTCAAGACATTGTGGGATTTTTATATCTATAAGTGCTGCTAATCCATAATAGCTAGTGGAAACTTAAAACATCATATAATGCAGATATTTTCCGTTTATTTAATTTAAAATTGTTTTGACAACACAACGTTGCAGAAATTTACAAATAAATAAATAAATCCTGAAATGTCCATGCCAGGTCAGTAGGTGGCGATCAAGTCTAATTTAACCACAAAATAAAAAACAAAAGAAATGGGACCATGGCTAGAGAATGATCCTGTTATTTTAATTATTTATTCACTGTTTTAAAATTGTTTCCTATTTTCACTGAGTATGTAGCCTTTTAAGCACACAACCACAATTTAATATAATTTTAATATTGACAACCTCTGGAGAAAATCACTGAGGGAAAAATAAATAAATAAATAAACTTTATGTTAGTAGGAAAAAAAACTCTTACTTAGAACATTGGCCTTGTCCACACAGGGTCAGTGTTTTTGTGAATACACAAATGTTTATTTTATTGTTTCAGCAATGTGTCTACATGGAAACAGTGTTTTAGGAACCCACAAATAACATTATTTCTAGAAACTGTCAATTTTTGAGGATATCTTAATTTTTGGAGTGGCAGTGTTTCTGCCAATTCATTTTTTTCTCTTCCATTTCAGAAACATTTAAGACCATGGACACAGACAAAGACGGTCAAATATCCCTGAACTTCTTTCAGGTACAGCTGCACACTGTTATTTAGACTGCACATTTCCATTCACGCGACATATGAATTAGTTTCATTCCTGTTACTGTGCACAGTGCTGCTCTGACATTAATCTACAGCTCCTGTTCTTTGTTCTTCAGTGGATTACTCTGACCATGTTCGCCTAAAGATCCAGCTGCAGCTCCGGGCCTAGTATTTGCTGTTCCAGAAGTGCCTTCAGTTCTTCCTCTCGTCTGTGATCCTCTCTGCTGAGGCCTTACGATGCCAAAAAAAATTATAGTTTCATCATTTCAGTGCCTGAAATGGAAATGTTTTGCCAATCGTTTAGTTGTAGCATGTTCTGTCCAATGAATTCTCTGCTGCGCTCGCTGTCGGTCCTGTCAAAAAGTTTATACAAACCTTCATGTGAAGGCAAAGCAGCTGACCAGCAGGAATGAACTGACTGGTTTGGGTTTAGTGGGTGGAGACAAAGTTCATTTTTAAAGTAAACAACTTTTTACTAAATGTAGCCAACATGTCTTTCAGGCTGTACAAATTAACTTCACTTTTATAACATAGATTTTATAACTCTTCTGGATTTATAGTTGAATAAAGTTAAACTTGCACCTACCAGACCAGAAAGGTCCAATAAATTTAACAGGACAAAATGCTTTAGATTAAAAAAAAGCACTTAAAATGATCACATTTTTTTAAGGCATGATTTACAGTCGGATCCAAACATAAATTAACAATTATTATATCCTTTTTTTTTATGTAAATCTGCCTTAAAACATTAACACAACGGGCTTAAATTGATGGAGCTGAGGTGATTTTAAAATAATTATTTTTGGTTCATTGCTTGTGCATAATTTTCAGGGTTTAAAGTGTTCACAAATTAACTTTATTAATTTTTTTTTTAATAATTCACTGATTTGGTAACTCCTGTGAGTTTCACAGTTTTTCCAAATTATTTTTTCAGCCTAACAAAAGCCATCCTCACTTATGTTCACTTGTATCAGTACTTTTATTTTTTTTCAAAGTTCTCACTTTCACTTGGTGCAGCTCTAAATCACTGCAAGTTGCCTTCCATTTATTTTTCCTAAACATTTTAGTGTCACAAAAAATGATTTGGAGAATTTGTGCTGCATTATCACACGTTTTCACATTGATAACCCAATGAAGGTTAGTTTTATACCACAAACAAAACGACACAGAAGTAAGACATGTCATCACTTCCTGCTAATACTCGTCTTCATGGCCTGATTTAGTACCATATTATAATGTACAAGTTCATGTAAAAGGAATATATTTAAAATAATTACCGTAAATAATATTATTGTTTCGTTATTTAAAATAATCTATAAATAGAAATTGCACTTACATTTTCTTAATGTTTTGTTGGCAAAAAGACTCAAAAGTCCAGAACTTGTACAACTTCCCAAATATTTAAGGATCATTTGTTTTCTCAGCATTGTATCTTTAATTTTTACTAAACGTTGAATTTGATTCATCAAAATGCTGTCTGAACAAAATAATCGTGACGATCACAGCGCCCTATTCGAGTTGTTCAGATTAGCCACTTCGCTAAGTAGCATAATTAGCTCCTCAAAAGTTGTCTTTGCTGAATATAGCAGTTGAAACAGGAATAATTGCAAGTACTTTATCGCCCTTTAACCTCCCAGCTCCTTTAATACCCCTAAAAAGATTTACATTTGTTTTAGGTTGTTTTTAAAGTTTTAGCCATCAATGCTAACTCACCTGGAAATTTGCTGGATGCTAAGGGATGCTAAATCTGATTTTTTTTTTTTTTTTTTTTTTCAAAAGAGTTCTGTTGAATAGGATAGACTTGTAACTTATACATGAATATTTTTAAAGGATGTTCTGGCAAATAGTTATCAACAGTTGGTCTTATCAGTCGTGACATCAGAGCATAAAGGGCAGAAGTCATCCTCCAGGCTAGGCTAATGGCTAGCCAAACTGGTGCCCCTTTATACATAGTTTTACTTACATCAGCGTCAGCCTTCTGATGCCGCTGAATGTATCAGCCCACCTGATCAGCTCAGCTCATATAATCAATCCAAACGTCAAGTCAACTCCCTCTGGATTGATGCGTTTTACTTCAGGAGGCCAAAATACGCGTAACGCTGACGTTCGGTTGAGAAAATGGCGGCAAACTAAACAGTGTGTTGTGCACAAATGTAGATGCTTAATATAATTTAGTGTTCTTTCACACCTGCATGCCATTTTTGAAAAGTTATTTTATACACCTGATAAAAATATAAAATGAGTCATCGTCTGGCTAGCTGTTAGCCTAGCCTGGATGACGGCTACTGGCCTTATCTTGAAACTCTGTGCTCTGACTGATGTCGCTGCTCATAATTATTTAACAGAACATCATTTCAAACTTCACCCATCTCTTTGAAATAACTACAGATTTTTGTAAAGGGTTCTTGTGGAGTCAGAGCAGCATAGGAGAATCGGGGAGCTGAGGTTTGGCTCAGATTGTTACAGTGCAATTTTTAGTGATCTGAAACATCTTGCACCTCTAAAGCACGAGCTCTGTTGCACCTTTGTACACTGTTTCGCATCAGATGGTTATTTACATTGAAGACTTGATGGACTGGATCATGACCTGCAGTCTGTTGCAACATGTTGGATACAAAACATGTTGCAGAATGTAACTTGTGAATCAAACTCTGATGTACAGTAAATGTAACTTGGTGTAAGTATTACCTTTTGCTTGAACTGGTATGACATTTTTGAGGCTTAAAAGAGGCTGAGCTTAAATAGGTTTTCGTCTAAACAGCTGTTCGATTAACTCCATGAGAATTTGTCCTTGATTCTTAAAAAAAATCTTGCAGACTTGTGGCAAAACTGCTGTTTATAGAAGCAACTTCTTTTGCACTTTGGTTTTGGAGTTTGACACAAAACCGGTTTTACATGTCAGAAAAAAAGAGGGTAAAAACCTAGAATTGCGTCTTGCACGCAGTGTTCAACAAATGTATGCACAAAACCTCTGCAAGCGTTTGTAGCGATGCTTCTTGCCTTTGATGCTGACAACTTGTGGCCAAATTTTGCATCAACCTTCAGCATTGGTGAAGCTTTTCTGGGCCCGGCAGTTTCTGCAAACACAATGGTGCACTGTATCATAAAGAATGTGCTGACTGCTATATATCCAGTCATGTTTCGCTTTCTATATCAACTGCTTATTAATTATGCATGGCATTCTGGACTGTTTTACAATGTATTGAAAAATATACCTTGTTTTTTTATTCTTATTGGCTGGATTTTGTACTCTGGAAATGGGATGTCGACTTTATTTAACCTTATAAAGAAGACTTTTTAATGTTTAAGGTGAATGTGAACAATTCTGCAAAATCAATGGAGATGTCGTGTGCACGCTGTGTAAAATGTGACAAATCTCTGCCTGCCAAATTGTTTAGCTTCAGAGGGAAGTAAATTTTTTTTTTTCTCGGCATTTACGTACAAAAATGTTTGTTCTGCCTATTTTTTTGTATCTTGCTATGTTTTTAAGTAAAAGCCCAACTCTCGTATTGTATCCTGCTGACTTTTCTTTCTTTGTGCTGTGTAACGATGCTTATGTAATGTTTACAGGGGTAATATACCGGGTCCCTTTGAACCCATCGATCTTGCCACATGTTGGGTTACAGTGTCACCTTATCTGTGAAAGATCTGTACAAAATTACATAATAAATCTGGGGAAGTTTTTGATGAGCCTCTGAATGTATTATCTAGGTCTATGTAAGTGATTAAACGTTAAAAACAAAAACATGTCTAAATTTTAATAAATTCATGAAGGGTAATAAAATTCATGAATGTGAGTTTTGATTGTTTTGGTGTAAAGTAGTCCGTTTATCATGGGGGTTACGTTCCCCTCCGCAATAATTAGTGAAAAACTGCAAAGTAGGAATGCTATATTTCTTTTAGTTTTTTTTTTCTCTCTCTCTTCTTCTCTTTCTCTTTCTTTCTTTTCTTCTTTCTCTTTCTCTTTCTTTCTTCTCTTTCTCTTTCTTCTTCTCTCTTTCTCTTTTTTTTTCTCTCTTTTCTCTTTCCCAGAGGGGGGGATGAGTCTGGGAGGGGAGGAGTCTGGGGGTCCTCCCCCAGAAAATTTCGAATAAAGTAGATGCCATTTCCTGCATTCTGGTGTATTTTAACGGTTGTTAAACATCTATGTTTACCTACATTTGCAAGCACTTGATTCAATTACTATTTTCGAAAGCTTGTGTGTGAATAGAACAAATCTTTCTCCCCTCCACACACACTTCACGGTTCCGACCCGAACTCTCTTCAGCTGAATCCAGTCTTGCTCGTTGTTCTGCTCCAATCTCGATTACCACCACCTTCAGGTGCTTCAATTCTCGGTTGTCCAGCTGGAGACAAACCATCCATTTATTTAATGAAAGTAAAGTGCTGGACGGTCTTTTCGACATTTTGATTGCGCTTATTTTGACAAATTATCGTTGTCGTTTTGATACGTGATTAATGTGAATAATACACATCAAATATTTTTCGTAATTTTTTTTTAACCGTAAGCTTTTTTATTTATGTCTGAAATGTATGCGGGAGGGCTGACACATCAGCAGTTGTGCGTGCGCTCTGTAGAGCTTTCTGGAGATGCTCCTGGGCGTAACGTGCACTGTCCGCAGGGCGCGCCACTCGAGGGGTTTGAAGACACTTCCTCCCCACGGGACATGCCGTCCGCATCTTTGCTGGGCAGGAGCATGTTCACGTGCTGTGGCCGGAACATCCACTCCACAGACTGGGTCCGCTGGGCCCAGGGCAACGTCTCCCCTCGTATTTTTAATAAATAATGAAAAAAAAAATTTATTAGCCACTTAAACTGTCAAACTGGTTTGCAATTTAGTTGTGCTGTTTAATTATAGTTTCGAGATTTTTTTTAAATAAAAATGCGCAATGACTTTGGACTTTTAGGGGCGGAGATTTGAGTTGCCTGAACGCACCCTGTGAAAATAAGAGTTCCCAAATCTTGATCTGGCAGGATCCAGATCAAATTAAGTCCTGCTTCCCACAAAAAAAGCTCTGTTCCAGTCCGGCTCTGTTCAGTTCAGTTTGGTCCGGCAGACCTACCCTGCAGCGATGAAGCCCACAATGTTCTAAACTCTTAAAACAAAGTAATTTTAACAACATACATGTATGTACTGTACTGCAAAATTTTATATAGGTACTCACCAGCCTTCGTCTGGTTTTGGTCTGGGTCTGACCGGCTCTCTGCAGCTGTTGAGCACCAGACGCTTTTCGAGAGAGCCAGACTTTCAGAGAACCAGCACAAAACCACACAATGGTCCAGATCAAGTCCAAATCCAAATCCAAATTTAAAAAGTCCCGGTGAGCTCCAGAGAAAATACTGGACCTCCAAGCAACGCCTCCCCGCTCGAGAGACTTCATGGGTCGGCAAGCAGCACTCTGACCGATGAGGCTAGAAGTCCGGTTCTGGTCTAATTCCCAGTCAGTTCAGCTCTGCATCCACTGACTGCTAAATCACTATGAATAAGGACCAAACTTTTTCGGACCGGATCAAAACTTTCCTTCCATTTCAGCGGAATGCAACTTTTGCATCTGAGTAGTGTGCCGTTGTCTTCTGGGTAATGTAGTCCTTTTGACTGGTGATACACTATGATATGGTGATATACTCTGGAATAAGCTCCCACTTGATCTGCATCAGATTACTGAACTTGGCCCTTTTAAATCGAAGCGTAAGACTTTTTTATTCCAACAAGCTTTTAGTACGTAAATATGTGGTGACATTTCTGGTTTTATTTGTGCTATTATGTTGTGTTTTCTTGCTTTTAACCTATTGTCATTTTAAGTACTGTTTTTTGTTAAGCACTTTGGTCACCATCACCATGGTTGTGTAAAGTGCTATAGAAATAATTAAATAAATAAATAAATAAATACAGTATAGGCTTATTGAGAGAGAAAACTACAAAACGGTGGTGCCTGTCCAAAGTACTGTTTTTTCAATAACTTTTTACTGTATCTCATACTGTCCCAATCACGTGAGCAATATTAAAGTTGACAATCGTGTACGGTGTACAATCTTACTTTGAAAAACCATGAAAGAGCGAGTCCGCAAACGTCGAACCGTGAAGTAGCGAGGGACTATATTGTGTTAAAAGTATTAACCATTTATCAAAGTTATCAAAGGTCATAAAGCTGAGATTCCAACTGTTAAAATGTCACCAACTACACTTTAAATAACCACACTAACAAAGTAGTATTTTAATAAATAGCACTTTTAGTAACAGAAACATAAAAAAACAAGCGTTAAATACTAAGTAATGTACACATTTCTAAAGCTTCATAACACTAAGATCCAAAGGTGGGACCAAGTCACTGTTTTGCAAGTATCAAGTAAGTCTCAAGTCTTTATCCTCAAGTCAGAGTCAAGTTTCAAGTCTGAAACTTGAAATTTCAAGTCCTTTCAAGTCTTTTTTTTTTAAATGTTGCAATTTGTTATGCTATTAATGTAAATAATGGAGGTATACTTTCTTTTTAAATCTATTTAAAATTGTGATGAAACGTGTATCTAACTTACAAGGTGTTAAAAAAAAGTCATTCTATAATTGCACCTTTATATTGAACATTTCATTTAAACTTAGCTGCAAGAATAGTCTTCCTTTAAACTATAATTTTCAAGAATAAACATCCAGTGAAAAATGCAAGAGCAGAACTCCATGTTCAGACAAAAATGCTGACATTTCCACAGTACGTTACAAAGAACCATCACAGTAAATTTATTTCCTGTCCTCTCTCATCAAGTCACTTAGTGAACACGTGTTTGTAAGTGTCCATGTGTGAGTGACATGAACTGACCAATGAACAGGAATGTGAACTTTGTTATTTCAGTTGGCTATTCTGCATTTGCAAAAGATCAAACTGGCCAAAAGTCTGTCAGTCATTTGTGCACGATGAGGCTGTAGAATGATGCCGCCATAGCTGAAAACTGGCTTCACTGGAGTGCTACATGCAGGCACTGCCAGAACCCTGGTGGCCACATGAAACAGTGAAGTTCATTGCCCAGAACAAAAGGGTGTTCTGTTCATCAGCAATATCCAGGTAGTGACTCAGCTGTAGTGCTGCACTGTTGTGTGTCAGTGGGTCACATGACATAAAAGCTATAAAAAAATTATTCTCAAGAATGTTTGGTTTGGTAATTTACTGACGGTCCCTAAGTGAAACATTGCGCCTCGGAGGAGGGTGCAGACCGAGCGCGGCTAACCGAAATCATGCTGCTTGCATCGGCTCGAATGAGAGGAAGACACCACTGAATCCACGAAGCTCAAGTATGTTTTGTAGAACTATTTTCAGTTTTTAAACTTTAGATTATGGGTAAAATATCAAGTATTTTCAAGTAAACAGGTCAAAGTCCAAGTCAAGTCCCAAGTCACTGCTGTAAAAGTCCAAGTCAAGTCCCAAGTCTCAGAACATTTGTCGAGTCAAGTCTAAAGTCATAATATCATTGACTCGAGTCCAAGTCATGTGACTCGAGTCCACACCACTGCTAAGATCCTTACAGCAGATTTATGATTTTCTTAAATTTCAGACATTTTTACAAGTGGATCACATAAATTAGAGCAAATGCACCCCATTTATAAAATGATACAAAAAGCTAAGAAGTGACTTAGTGTGGAGCCACCTGTCAGAGGAATGCGTGTCCTACAGGGCACATGGAAGTTTTTCAATTCTTTCTTCAACAGAACACCTAATTTTAAACCAGGGAGGAATTTCTTAGGCACAAACGTTATAAATGTGAGCCGGCAGAAGTGTCTTAAAGAGCTTAAATCCTGCCCTCTTAGATGTAGTTGTTGTTGGGCTCAATCCGGGTCACCAGCGTGGAAACTAGCCGCTCCAGCTGCTCTCCTCGCTGCTTGCTCGTCTGAAGGACGTCTTCATGGTTGGCCTTCTCTTCGCTGTCGTAGTCTGTCACCACCAGGTTGGTGATCAACGAGAGGGCAACGACCCGCAAGCCGCAGTGACGTGCAACGATCACCTCGTGGACTGTGCTCATGCCTAAAAATGACAATAAAAAAGGAATATATGAACAAATGAAAATTCAGACTAAACAAGTTTGCTCATTGTTTTCATAACAAAGCAAAATTTAAACTATTGACAAACGCGTATTGTTTATAATCTGCTTATGGATATAAAAAGAAATATTTCGGCTGCTCTCTTCTTCAGGGGTCACAACAGTGAACTAACTCGCACGAAGACTTGGCACTTATTTTTACGCTGGATGTCTTTCATGACACAACCACAGACCACCGAGCTACCACAGCCCTCTGTGTGGAGCAGAGAGCTGCCATCTAGGGCGCTCGGGGGATTAGATGGTGGGTTTAAGGGCCTTGCTCAAGGGCCCAGAGTGGGGCAAATGAGGATGGAGAAAGGTGTAGGTGTTTCACCTTTCCCACCCACATTTTGATGTTGTCGATCCAGGGAACTGAACTGGAAACCTTCCGATCACGGGCTCACCTTCTCTAACCTCAGCGCCACCACTCCCCTAACCCTGTCAAATTCCAGTTTTATTTTTTAAATTTTATTTTTAGACCAGATGACCTGACTGACCATTATTGGATTTTGTATCTGGATGATTGAGCATGAACTTTGATGTCTTGAACCACTTTGGGTGTGGCTGCAAGCCTGGGAGGAGTCGACGGGGGACAGGACATCCCCAAGAAACCATCTTATCACCAGCAAACTGGTTGGTCCACTAAAGGAGTGCACTGCTTAGTGGGGAAAGCAGTTGACTTGGGACTTCTCAGACTGATGAAGCCCTCTGGATAGAGGGAGAAATGTCTTTCCACAAAAAAGAAAATGTCTAGATGACCTGATTGACCATTAATGGGTTTTGTACCTGGATGATTCAGCATGAACTTTAAAGTGTGCAAATAGTCTGCCAAAGTTGCTGTCGTCCATTCCTTGAGCAGATAGTTCAGATATCTTAAAGTGGGGATCTTTTGAAAAGTTAAGCATAATTATCTTACCCGTTATACCGTTTGAATGACCTCAGTCTGGAGAAAGAGTGTCCAGTTTTGACCAGACTAATGAACTAACACCACAGACATTTGTCTGAGCAGAGTCGAGACCAAAGTGGAATGCTGCGTTCCAAAACAAGTCCAAGCTTTTGAAGTTCTGTAGTGGTTCAAGCAAATGCTATTTTATAAGCGTTTGCATCATTTCATATTACTGTAGATATTCTAGCAGGAATGTTGAGATATCCCTGCCAGTGTTACCGCTAGCTGCCGTTGCTATGTGTGCTTGGAAATACCCATTGAATTCTACATAAATAGTGATAGGGCGGCACACTGGCTCAGTTGGTAGAGCGGTTTCCTCTTAGAGAGAAGGTTGCTGGATCAAATTCTGTCCCGGGGCCTTTCTGGGTGGAGTTTGCATGTTCTCGCCGTGCACGTGTGGGTTTACTCCGGGTACTCCGATTTCCTCCCACAGACAAAAAACATGTTAGGTTGATTGTTAACTCGTCCTTATCTGTGAGTGAGAGAGTGAATGGTAGTTTGCCCCATTTGTCTCTATGTGTCCCTGTGATGGACTGGAGACCTGTCCAGGGTGTCCCTGCCTCTCGTACAGTGACTGCTGGACATGAGCACCAGTGATCCCCGTGACCCAAAATGGAAGAAGCGGGTAAAAGATAAATAAATATTGGTGTAAAGCAAAATAGAGAGCAATGTAAATATCTTTTAAATAAACCACCATGCAGAGTTTGGAGTTGTTACTACAACCGCAGTTCCCTTTGATCCCTCGGTCTTTCTCAGACCAGCTACTAGCTCATCAATATAGTCAGAATCAAACTCTAGTTATCCAAACTGGTATCTACAGAACCTTATTTGATCTGGACAATTGAGTAATAACGTTCAGGAAAGTTGTTTCACTTTTATGTGAATCGGGTTTTCATTGGTTTTACTGTTTCTCATGTTTTATAGTAAAACTGAAGCAGTTTTCCCACATAATAGAAAAAAATAATAGAGTTGTTGAATGATACCACAAGACTGGAAGGACTACATTAACCACACTTTGGATGTTGTGTCAGAGGACAAGTCATCAAATTGATTATAAGGCCTGAGATCTTTTGCATCTCCCATGTTTATAACAAATAAAAAGCCCCAAATATGGCAATCAAATTCATTGTTTTTGTTGCAACCATCATTATGCCCATTAAAATCACTCACCAACAGCATCAGCGCCCAGTTTGTGCAGTATACGGCACTCAGCAACTGTCTCAAATGACGGTCCGCCCAGGACACAGTAGACCCCCTCCTTCAGGAAGTCTCCATAACCAAGTTCCTGTCCAATGTCCAAAGTCAGCTGCTTCAAGTCTCGATTGTATGCATCGGACATGCAGGGGAAACGCACACCATACCTGCGAGGAAATTAGAAAACATATTAACCGCAGAATGTTGACAGCCGAATTGAACAGGTTTGGTGTTGCAAGAAAAGTACAGCATGCTCAGAAAACTCCTTCAGTCATTACAAGCTTCTTAAAACCAAGAAAAATTACCTCTCATCATTGGGTCCAACCAGCGGATTGTTGCCAGCAAAGCCAGGCATGTTGATGTGGTCCTTGATAACCATGATGTCACCCACTTTGAAGTCCTGGTTCAGACCTCCCGCTGCGTTGGTGAGTAACACCGTCTCAACACCGAGCAATTTGAAGATGCGCATCGGCAGGGTTATCTAGAAATACACACAAACTTTGGTTTATGGATGTGCAATATCTGTTTTTGTTGTTGCACCAAATCAGGTAAAAGAGTCTGCAATCAGTAGGACTGCCGCAGGACGCACTGACCTTCTGGATGGGATAGCCTTCATAGAGGTGGAAGCGCCCTTGCATGCAAACACACGACCTTCCTTTCAAGGTGCCGAACACAAGGCGCCCTGCGTGTCCGTGGACTGAGGGAAACAGTAACCAGTGAGTAAACATCAGCAGCACACGGCAGAACTACAGAGGGGTATGATGTAACGTTCCTCACCTGTGCTCTGTGGAAAGTTGGGGATGTCCTTGTAGTTGAATGCCACCTGGTCCTTCAGTAGGTCAGCCAGACCCCCGAGCCCTGATCCACACACAATGCCCACGATGGGCCGGATGTCGGTTTGAGTCTGCAGCCAATCAGCAGTGGCCTTGCAGTCCTCATAGCTGTAACTGCATGTTGGAAAGCAAAAAAGGTAGAGGTTACTTTTCAGTCTTATACTTAAAAGAAGCACGTAAATAGAATATGATTAAGATGTTCACAACAATTTTAATCTTTTGAACGGCCTTTTTAAACAAACAATGGAACACGAGTTGCAGACAGTTGAGTCATTTTTTTCCTTTCTCCTCCTCAGATGCTTTAATGCTGAGATGAAGAAGAAAGGGGAGGAGGCACAGCAGTTGTACATGGTTGACATGTGCTCATGAGAGAAGGGGGGTGTTGTGTACTTCACAAGTCCCGTGGCACAGCCATATATTGTATGTCACTGGCGTACTTGGTGACCGTACGTGGCGATGTGACTAACCCTTACAAACGGAACATCTTTGAATGGAAAAATGCCTCAAGATCTGGTTCCCTTTGAAGAGCCTATCCCGTCTCTAGAACATAAAACTCCTGCGTCACATTTTTTTTCTTCGTGAAATTGATTTTAACAGCGGAGTGATTTTTATCACTTAACTATCAGACTTAAAAGAGGCCCTTTCATGCAGAGTCACGTTGGTAAACTACCATTAGAACAGAGGACCCCAACCCTGATCCTCATGGACCGCTGTTGTGCATGTTTTAGACGTTTCCCTGCTTCAACACAGCTGACTGAAATGAACTAGTCATTGATCGGCTTCTGCTAAACTTGATAACATTCTGAGAACATTGAGCTATGATGACCAGGGTTGGGGACCTCTGACCTAGAAGACAAAACCTTCTATACTTTTTTAATTTTTTTTTTATCTTTATTCAGGCAAAATTAGTTAAACAAAACATATAACTGTCGAGTCAGAAATAGAGTAAAAACATCTAAATTTTGCATTTATGTGAATTTTTTCTTGTTCCAGTAGACATTTAACATAAGCATCTTCATGTTTTAGGACACTGAATTAAAAGTTTAATATATGAACAAACAATTTATTTTTGCTCTCACGTGTCCACGAAACTCAACAGAATCAAAACTTTAAAAATATATATTTTAACAGTGTACTCACCCTTTGTGTGTTTCTGGAAACATTTTGAAGGACTAAAACAAAGGTTTGAGGTAAAAGTAGTGGGGAAACAAATTAAAATTCCAAAATAGACAAAGATGATGTGAAAAATAAAAGCTCAGGTTTTTTTTTTTAATATATATATTTATGGTGAGCCAGAAAAATAGTAAAAAAAAAAAAAAACTTATATCTTTTATGTTTTCCTTCTGTCTTGAAGTCCTCTGGAAGCGTTTTGTTCCCTCTCTGGAGTCTGAGTTGAAGTCTCAGGATTTATAAAAGTCCATGAATCTGTGCTCCTCCTTCCCCTCCACCCCACACCAAATCATGCATGGAGCTGCAGCTGTGCCATTGGCTCAACAAACACACCTTCAAAAAAAAAAAAGAATGTTTTTTAAAAAAGGAAATATTTGATGGGCATCCCCTACTTCATTCCCCCCTCCCCGTTTTACAAGAGCAGCTGCGTTCAGGAACCACATACCAGTGATCATAAATCTCTAAAGTCCACTTCATGCTCAACAGGAAACGTTGTACTTTGCAACATCCGTCCATCAGCTCGCTTGACGTTCAGTAAATGATCAGTCAGATCTTTATTGATTGATTTGTTCAGGTGGAAAACAAACGTTTCAACGAGTCATGGTGAATGTTTTGTTTTTAGCATCACGTGTTTTGATCGTTCCGGCTGTAAGAAGCACGACCATTGATTGTGCAATGAAACTTCCTGTACTTTCATGAGTAAAACAAGGTACTTTTATCCAGTATGTTTATTTTATGTTAGATACTGTTCCTCTACAGCAGGGCTATTCATCTAAACTGCTTGGG